GCTGGTGCTGCTGGTGATGCTGGTGCTGCTGGTGCTGCTGGTGCTGCTGGTGCTGCTGGTGCTGCTGGTGCTGCTGGTGCTGCTGGTGCTGCTGGTGCTGCTGGTGCTGCTGGTGCTGGTGGTGGTGGTGGTGGTGGTGGTGGTGGTGGTGGTGGTGGTGGTGGTGGTGCTGATGGTGGTGGTGGTGGTGGCTGGACGGTACAATGCAAAACGCTGCAGTCAGGAAGCTCGCCAATCCGCGGATTGACTTCATGATCCTGCGAGCCCAGAAGACGAAGCAGTTTGAAATCGAGAAGCCCTGGTATATCATCAATCCTGCGACTTGGTCTTTAGGGTTTCACTTTCGCGTCTTCTTGCGACTCCCCGAAGAACAAGATGTTGGAGCTGCGGGTTAAGGTTTGCCTGTAGCAGCGTAGCAGAGTGCAGTATCAATGAAGTAATTCTCCGAGTCCTTAGTCCCCTTCTGCCATACCTATAGTCTCCATTGTAGTTCCTTCTTTTGCTTTAACCAAATATATATATATATATATACACACACACACACACACACATATATATATATATATATACATTAAGGGTTTTACAAGGTATCCCCAAAAAGGAACTACAATGGATACTATCGGTATGCCCAGTCCAAGTCATAAGGTTCCCCGTAATGAAACGAGTCGGGACACCCAAAAGACTTGATTGCCCTGGCCAATGCCTGCCTTCGTGCCCTTGAGCGTTTTCCTCTCCATTTAGGGTTTTGGGTTTTGGGCCTTGGCTTCCCCAGTGCGGTTTGATGTTCTGCATGTCTCTTCGATGCGTTGTGAGAAATTGGGGAGGCTTCCTTCGAGAAGGGAACAAAAAAATTCAGTATCAGTATGACTCGCATTCGTATAACAATTGCTATTGTTACTGTTATTATGATTAGTACCATTCTACCATCATCTTCAATATGGTAACACTATTGCTGTTCCTAGTGTTCTTATTGCTGTCACTATTCTTGTTATCCTTTTTAACCTAGCTGGACCTAACTTTTTGCTATGCTTAGAAAGTCTAGGCCTGAACGCCAATCCGATTGGAGACATACAATCTTGGTAGACGCAGCGCAAGCATAGCACGGAGATCTGAGTAAGAGTGTCAGTAGCAGTTCCCAGACCCCCAAAAGGATCTAAAAAATAGATCCCCTAAGGGGGTTCCTATAAAGTACCCTTTAGTAGTTAGGGTCCCTAATTAGGGGATCTATTTTTTAGATCCTTTTGGGGTCTGGGTTACTACCATTCTTCAGAGGAGGCCTTGGCTTTTTCAATGCTTGGAGAAGCACTCTCGGAATTTGCGTCCTAAGCCCCTAAACCCTAAGCCCTAAACCCTGAGCACGAATCTGTAGCTGAGGACAGCAGCTCCTTGTTCGCGGTGTGGCAAGGCCTCAGTTTCCTGGCGCTGACATTTGTCGCCCTGAACCTTGGTGGCAATCTCAGGGGCCTTAAGTTTAAGATGGTGATGAGGAAAAAAGCGTGTGGGGCTGGCGGTTGTCCGCTGGTCGTATGAGATGTGCTCAAAATGTCCTGATTCGCAGCTTTTCACTGTGTGCTGTCCTCATGCAGTGGCACTGCTCGTGTCCCATGACGCCGGTCAGAGGCGTTTAGTGGACACAGCATGAGACAGGAGGTTGGCCATCTGTGAACCAAGACCTCCCACCGGCCACTCCCTCACCCGGTCTCTGTCGTTCTCACTACTCATTGGCTCATTCCCCCTACTTACTTCTCTGTCCGGGAGCTACTCTAGTATTGCCGAAAGATGGCGGACGATGGAAGGTAGGCTTCACGGTCCAGACAGGAAGTTTAGGTTCACTGCAGACGACCGCAGAAACTCTGCCAAGGCCTTGCGAGCTGGTTTCCGTTTCTCTCTCACTCTCTGTCTCCGTCTCTCCCTCCCTCGCTGTCTGCTTTTCCGCCAGTCTTGCATGCAGATCACCACTTGACATCCCTTGCCGAAGCCTCCCCTCTTAGCAACCCCGTCTCACATGTAGGATCACACCGATACAAGTCGGCCTCATTGCGGAGTACAAATTCGCCGCTCGGATCTGCCTTCAGTTGGAGTTTGGGAGGTGGGAATCGCCAGTCAATCTGACCACAACCTTATTCAGAGCGGTGTTGTTGTTGCTGCTCGCAGTGCATGGACAGGGCCTCATCATAGACACATCCAGCGATGTTGATGGTGAATTTTGATCGCGGTGCTGTCCCGGTCGTGGTGTTGACGGATGCTTCGAGTGGGATGGCGGCGATCTTGCTGCTTTCGATGCCGAAGACACTGCCAGTGATGGCATGAGCCAGTGCTGACCATAACCGGAGTAGCCTTCTTTGCTGGCTTGGACCTGCTCAGGGTTTCTTGAGGCCGTGGCATTGTTGATTGATTACTTCCGGGCGTGTTGCAGGGTTGAAAGTTACCGTCCGGACGATCCGGAAGATGAAGACATACTCCGCTGACCGGGCAACAGTGGACGGGGTGATGGTCAGGGTCTAGGGCTTAGGGCTTCGCCGTAGCAACTAGATAGCATCTTGCACAGAACAATTTAAAGACGAACGTTTCTGTTTTTCCGACTCTGTATCGGTTGTCCCAATGATGTCTTGCAGACCGCGCTCCGTTCCCGGAAAGCCGACTAGATGACTAGATAGATAGATGATAAAAAAACACACGCGAAAACCAAGCCAACAGCTTCCGAAGTTGTCGGAGCTGTTCTGGATCGGGGTCGATGGGGGCGGAGCCAAACGCCGAGTTGGTTTCCGACTGGTGCCATCCAACAGGATACGCTTGCCGCGGTGAGCTTATGTGTGGACGTCATTTTCCTCGTGGATCTGCTGATGTTCCCTTGCTGCAGCTCATATAGCTTGCAGAAGTGCTCAAGACAAGCATTTCTAGAAGTTCAAGTTCATGTTGTTTAACTTCCCGCTGGTATTGAAGCCTCAAAACCCAAACCTGTTTCTGGCAGAGTTGGCATTCCCCATGTTGGTTTCGGGCTAGGTTCGAGAGGCCTACATGGCCAGTTTGCGTCTGTTCTCACCATCTCGGCCAAACCTATAGATAAGTACTTGCGAGACCATTGGCCGTCAGTGCCCCCATCCAAAATCGTTCGCCCTTTATCGTTTACCCTATCTTCAATGCCAACAAGTGTCAAGTCGCTTTCACAATTGGAGACTAGATCACTGGCACTCGGCAGAATGGCGCAGAGCCCTTTTTACTGTAAAGTTCGAGGCTTTAGGACTGAGGAGGTGCTTCGTCGCTCCAAGTGGCTCTCCAGAGCCTCCGCGGGTTTGGAGCTTAGGGGTGTAGGGTTTATAGGGTTTAGGGGTTTAGGGAAGTGTATTTGCGTGCATTGTCTTTATCAGCAACTGTTGAGTTAGAGCCTGTAGCATCAATCGCTCGCTTCACACGTCTTGCACCCCTCATGGTGCCTGAGTCTTTCGAATTGCTTTCTATTTAGCTGGATAGGGGAAGATGCATGTTTTCACAGAGAAAAGGAAAGTTATATGATATGGTTCAAATTATGTGTATATATATATATATATATTACTTATATATGTCAATGTATCATACACACACATACACATACATTGGCATACATTGGCATACATACATACGTGCATACATACATACATACATACATACATACATACATACCCAAATATGTATGTGTATATATATATACACACACGCACACACACACACACACACATATATATACATATATATATATATGTATATGGACCCGGATTTGAGAAGCATTTGCGGGTGTGGGTAGCTCGGAGCTTGCGCTGGGCTCTCCTCTCGCGGCAGTTTGGACGATTTGGGTACTGCCCCCTCTCTATAACAGTTGATAATATTATAGTATATTCATATATTGCCCTTATTATGACCCTAACATTGACTGTTACAGGGTGGGAGCAGTACCCAAGAGATATATCTCTGGGACTCTAGGAGTTCCCTGTCGCCAGGCAGTTTTGCACGACCTACTCCAAGAAAACGGTGCGCGGGACGATCTGGGAGACCAAGGTGACGGTAATCTCACAGCAGTACCTGCAGCTCTGCTGCAACTTCATAGTAAGACATGCCTCTCCAGCGCAGCCTCAAGCCCAAAGGCACCACATCTGCGCGAATGGCGAATGGTGCAGTAGGCTGACAGCTGTAAGAAGCTCCCTTTGGTCATGTACCCTGTATTGGGAGAGAAGCGGTTGTGTCTTGGTAGCTGGATGCGGCATTCCGGCGTAGTTAACGAGCCCACATGGATCTTTCTCGAAATCCTGTACCCTGAAGACTTTCAGCTGGACCCTCCTGAAAGCTGGTGGTCTGAAGCAACTGAAAAGGCCCTTCGTCGTGCTTATTCCGGGAGCGTAGCAGGGTGTACAGGCTTATCCAATGAGCTTGCGGAGCCGTTGGCACCGGGGGTTCTGGGATAATGTTTCGACTCCTGGACACTGGCATCCAGTGGCTCCCTTACTAGATCACATTGGAAAGGCTCCCGTTGCTTTGGGTAAGATGAAAGAATGAAGTGCGAGGAGATCTTGGTTCGTCCTGGATGTCGTGTCCTTGATTCCCTTCGATTTGATCGGCTTGATGATCGGCGGAAGCGGTGGCAATGACTTCGCGGAGCTCAAAAGCATCAAGGCAAGCTCACCGGTCTTTTTTGGGGGTTGACGGGCAATATGACAGCAGAATGAGCCAGCTTCCCGGTGTTTCTGAACCCTAAACCCTAAACCCTAAACTCTAAACCCTAAACCCTAAACCCTAAACTCTAAACCCTAAACCCTAAACTCTAAACCCTAAACCCTAAACCCTTGTGGTGCCCACAGCAGCCAGATCCACCAGGTTCTCAGAGTGCTGCGACTTCTGAAGTTGACGCGGTTGCTCAAAGGGTCGAAGACTCTCGGACAAGCTCAGATGATATTCGGATTTAGGGTTTAGGGCTTCGGGTTTAGGGTTTAGGGTTTAGGGTTTAGGGTTTGGGGCTTTAAGAAGTCATCGAGGATCGGGCTTGGGGGGTTTCTTGTGGTCGAATCATAATGAGGGTCCCAAGGGATAGTTTAGGTAATCATGAAGGTGCACAGGTTATCCTGGTAACTAAGTCGCAAAGAGGAAAATGAATATTTGCCGACAGTATCGTCATCATTTGGTCAAGGATTTTTTTGGGGAGAAATTCCCTAGGGCTCCAAGTATACAAATAGTACCTACTTTGGGATCTAAAGTCTGTAAACAGTACCTACATTGGGCTATTTGGAGCCCCAGGGATTGGTAAGTAGCAATCCCAACGTCGAACTCCTCAAGGCCGAACCCGTCATGTCCCAAACCCTCGTCAGTCTTAAGTGAGCCCACCAAGTCCCTGAAGGCGATAAACACAGGTGTTTTTGCTGCTTCGAGCCCATAAATCCCTTTAGACCCTTAGCTCAAGATGGGTTTAGGGCTGAGGGTTCTCAAGAAGATGTCACGGTTTGCTAGTGGCTGTGCTGCAGGCTGTTTCGCAGTATCGCGGTCGTGGATCTAGAGGGACCTTGTTGAACGGCTTGACAATTCCCAACTCAGAGATCACCCCTTAACGCTTAATGTTGGGCTGGTAGTAAAACACCCCCCTGCCGCGGAGGTTGTTTTGTCGAGGGTCTTATGCGGATGGTCCGCGGGCTTGGGGTGGCAATAAAGAACCTCTGGCCGGGTCCGCAGTGATAGTCAAACCCTAAACCCTAAACCCTAAACCCTAAACCCTAAACCCTAAACCCTAACCCTAGACCCTAAACCCTAAAAGAATAGCTGCTGCAGTTCCTGGAGTCCGGAGCCCGTGGCTTCATGCGAAAGCTTGGGGATATTCTGCCGGATCTGCTCTGCTTGCCGAAGGGTGGAGTGAAAAGTCTCTGGAACTGCATGTCTGAGTGTGAGGAACTGCACTTTGCAAGCTGGGTTTAGGGTCTCTCAAAATAAGCTTTTCCTCAAGCGAGGCCCTGACTGTTTTTAGGGATTTCGGCCCAGAATATTTCAATTCTCACCCCTAAAAGATTCTCACCCGGGTCCCAACGTCAATTGTTTGGTCGGATCTGGGTGCGCAATCTAAAGTAGTCCGCCGGGAAAATCTGGGCCGGGGACTATTGTAATTGTCACGCTGGTGTCACTCCAGCATTAAGCCTACCAGGAACTCTCGAAAAAGCACGCCTGGTTGGTGTGTCCGTGTGGGAGTGCCGAATCGCGCAGTTGATGCTGCTATTGCTTTGTTCGAAACTTCCCGGCTAATACTTTGCCTGAAGGTTGCGTAAGTATGGTGTGCATTGGATTTGGGATTCGGTCAAAATGCTTTGCAGGCACAATTGCGTGCAGCCACAGCTGCCGGTTGCCATGCTTTCCGTCTGGGGGGATTAGGAGTGTGCCAGCTGAGGATCATACAGCGACTGGAGGTTCCAGTGGCCATACCGTACCAACATCTGGCATTGATCAGGTTTATGTTTGTGCTCATGATGGCCTGCCATTGGCTGGCCTG